AGTGTCCGCCGGGTTTGGGTCGGACACGGCGGTGGGATCGCGCGAAATTGCCAGAGTAGTCCTTGGTTTGCGCGAGGAGTGAGGGGTGGTGGTGGTGGGACGATGCCATGGGCGAGGTGCCGTGGTCACTCTAGAGACTACTCGACTCGTGCCTATCCCTCCCGAGCTGTAAGGAGTGAGGGGGGGGAGGAGGGAGGGGGAAAGGGCAGCCCCGTCGGCGGAAGCAGACGGGGACGGGGGCGCCCGCGCAGCGGGCGAGCGGCTCGGGTTAAGGGCGAAGGAGGAGGGAGAAGCAGGAGGAGGGAGCAGGGAGGAAACAGGAGAGATGAAAGGGGGGAGGCAGGGCGGGGAGGGAGGCAAAGTGGGAAGGCACGAGAAGGAACCATCTGAGAAAAGGCAGGCAGATGAGACAGGAGGAGGGCGGAGGAGCGAGGCGGAAGGAGGACGGACGGATAATGGCGAAAGCTGAAGCGGAAACGAAGATGGACGGACTAGGGAGGAGGAAGGATGCACGAAGAGGGAAGGGAGAGGGATGGACGATTGATTGATGGTTGGAAAGCGTGGGCGGGCGAAAGAGCCCCAGCGGTGGCAGCGACGCGGCGCGCAATCGCTGCGGCCTGCAAATAGAAGTGACAAGCGCGGAACGCGCCTACGGGCCGCCAATAACAAACGCGAGACCCACGCGGACAACAAACTGGCAATGCATCCGCGGCGCGCGCAGGCTTCCGCAACTGACACAGAAGCGCCGGCGCGAGCGACGACGCCCACTCAGCTCGCCCGCGCAAAGCGACGACTGCCGCAGCGCGCGCCGAAGAAGCAATGCAGGAATGAACCCCTCCCTCCTCCTCCTCCCTCCTCCCTCCCCCCTCCCCCCTCCTCCTCCCTCCCCCCCCTCCTCCCCCCCCTTCCCTCCTCCTGCCCATTCTCCCTCTCCTCCTGCCTCTGCCTCCGCCGCCCCCCCTCCCCTCCGCCCTTCCACCGTCTGAGCCCTCCTGCCCTCTCCCCCTTCGTCACCCCGCCTCCTCCTCCTCCTCCTCCTCCTCCTCCTCCTCCTCTCCTCCTCGTTATCCTTCTCCTCCCCCTGCCTCCCTCCATCCTCCTCCCTCGTCCTCCTCCTCCCCCGCGCCCCTCCTCTTCGGGCCGCCTGCGGGGTAGGGCGCTGCTGGTGGCAGCGCAGGGCGCGCCGGCTTTTCTGGGCCCTCCGGAAGCCCCTTGCCCCTTTTCCTGGGAGGCCCCCCCGGGGTCCCAGAGGGGGGGGAGCTGGCGCCAACGCGGGCCGCTCCGCTGATCAGGAAAACCCGATCAAGGCCGTAGCGCATACCACACAAAAACCATGGTACGCTACGGCCGCTGCAGGGCCGTAGCGTATACCGCGTGAAAATACAAGGTATATGCCACGCCCCCCCCTTGCCTGAACAAGGCGGGCGGGCCCCGGGCCGCCCCGGCTCGGGCGCGGCATCTCCGGTTTTGCCGTGCCTTGACCCCCGCGGCCCCTGCGAGGGCGCCCAGCGCGCCGCCTCCTCGCCGGAACCGCCGGTGCGCAAGACGGTTGTGCATTGCAGCGCCATCTAGCCCTTCCCTAAGCCTCCATCGATCCCTCTCTCCTTCTTCGTCCTTCCTCCCTTCCTCCATCCTGCTCTTTCCACCTCCCTCCCCCCTTCCCTCCTCCCTGTTGTCCCCTCCCTCCCCCCTTCCCCCATCCTCCTTCGGTCTTCTCTTTCGCCTTTCCTTCCTTCATTCCCCCCATTCCTCGCCCCCCCTTTCCCTCCTCCCCGCCCCTGCCCATTAATCGTGCACCTGGCCTCTCCTCCTCCCGCTTCCTTTCCCGTCCATCCTCCCTCGGCCCCTCCTTCCCCCCCCTCCCCTCCCCCCCGCCTCGTGTCCCCCTCCACCCTCCTTCTCTCAGCTTCGCCTTCGTTGTTTCCCCTCCTCCCCTCGTCTCCCTCTTGCTCAATCCTGCTCCCCCCCCTGCTTCCGCAGCGTGATTCCTCCCAGTTCTCTTTGATCCTCTGTCAAAGCCGCTGCTGGTGGCTATGCAGCGCCAGCCTCGGGAGCCCGCGGCGATGGCAGTGGCGGCGCGGACGCTGTCGACATTGCCGCCGTTTTTGTCCGTCTTTTCGCGTTCCTCGTGCCCCGCCTGCTGCCCGTTCCCCCGCCCACCGTTGCCAGTTTGGTTCAAGCCATGTCGCTCTGCGGCTACAAACGCAAGCGGTGCCACCGGCGCGACGCTGAGCTACTCGACGGGCACCAAAGCCGCGCGACGCGCGTCCCCGGCGCGACGCCGGGCGGCGCGATGGGCACAGCGGATATCCATCGGTAAGCGCCGCGGCGGGCACCGGCGACGCGGCGCTGATCAGGTGGCCACGACTCATTCCCATGGGCATATATTGAGGGAGCGGCGCTCGGCGCGGCCGCGCAAAAAAAGGGCGGCCCATCGGGCGCCGCGATTGCCGCGCAAGGCAGCGCGACGGGCACGAACGGCCCGACACCGAGCAGCTCGACCGAACACAACAATTCTATTTCGACTGTCGCCAGGGGCCCGAACTACGGACGCCAGCAACGCGAGTTTGATCGCCGTGGCGGGCGCCATCGTCACAGCGCGGATCCGCACGGCGACATGCAGCGCGACGCCCCCCCCTCTCCACCGCGTGGGAACGCGACGGGGACTAGCGCCACGACGCTGGCCAGCGCGACGAGCGCCGCAAGCGCGACGCATATCAGCTCGAGGAGGTGCGGCGACGCTGTTCTGAAAAAGCGTTAGCGGCTTGCGCGTTGCGCGCGTCGCCGGGATGGGCAAGACGACGAGGTGGCGGCAGCGTGCCGCCGAACAGCACCCGAACAGCACCATCAGGTGCTGTGCGAGGCTAGCGGCGTATACTCGGTGACTGGGAATCTCGCGTGGCCAGCGCGTGGAACCCATGTCGCTGCTGCTGCGAACGGTGATTGGGCGGCGTTCGGCGCTGACGCGGCGCGGCGGCTTCCTGACGCCACTGCGGGGTCTTCGCGATGACAAGCCGAAGCCGCGCGGGGCAAACGCTTGAAATTCCAATACCGTCGTGCCGTAGGTGGGGTGGTGTCGTCTCGTCTTTTATTTATATATATATATATAGAGAGATACAAATACATATGCACTAGAACCATCGCGCGCGCTTCGCGCGCGCTCAGGTTCTACCAGGCCCCAGGCCTTGACGAATTCACTGCTCCACTGAAGTAGTGGACCACAGTCCACGTATGCCTATCTGCATTCCGAAAGGCCTTCGAGGAAAATGGTTGTGTAGGGGGGCGGAGGCCGTATGAATCGGATTCCCAGAAGGCCTTCTGGGAGCATGAATTTGGGGCATCTTGGGGAGCTTGTTGGGGCGTGCCGTCGTCATCGTCGTCGTCGTCGTAATGTCGTCGTCGCCTATTGGGGCGCGCCGTCGTCGTCGTCGTCGTCGTCGTCGTCGTCGTCGTCGTCGTCGTCGTCGTCGTCGTCGTCGTCGTCGTCGTCGTCGTCGTCGTCGTCGTCGTCGTCGTCGTCGTCGTCGTCGTCGTCGTCGTCGTCGTCGTCGATCCAGAGGGCACTTGGGGCAACTTTGTGCGAAACGATCTGCGGAGGGCCGCGAGAAGGCGATCAGTCATGTTCCCAATCAACTTCCCAGACAGCTCTCCTGTAGCATGATGGTACTTCGAAGCCTCCGGAGACTCGCGGGCGAGGCCGTTAGGGAGCGCTGGGAAGCGGGAAAAGCGAGAACGCCTAAATACTTCAAAAACCATTGGAACATTAGTGAATCTTGCCTCCCAGGGCCCTCTTGGGGAGCCTCTTGAGTCCGTCCTGGAGCGTGTTGGAGTCCTCGTCGGCCGTCTTGAGGGCATCTTGGGCGTCTTCGGGGCCTCTCGGGACCGTCTAGGGCCCTCTCGGGACCTCCATTAGCCTGTCGTGGCCTGCTTCGGGGCGGGCCCGGGCCGCCTACCCCTCTGGGCCTTCTCTTGGCGCGCTCTTGGGGCACACTTGGGTTGCCTGGGGAGCATCCTGGGCCGTCTTGGGGCCCTCGTCGGGGCCTCGTGGGCCTTCTTGGAGCGATCTGAAAGGCCTCCGAGGCAATGAGGGAGCGCTGGAAAGCGGGAAAAGCGAGAACGCCAAAATCCAAAACACTCGGAAAACGACTGAATCTTGCCTTCCAGGGCCCTCTTGGGGAGCCTCTTGAGTCCGTCCTGGAGTGTGTTGGAGTCCTCGTCGGCTGTCTTGCGGGCATCTTGGGCGTCTTCGTGGCCTCGTGGGACCGTCTTGGGTCCTCTCGGGACCTCCTTAGCCTGTCGTGGCCTGCTTCGGGGCGGGCTCGGGCCGCCTCGGGAGCTCTGACCCCCCCCGCAACCCCTGGTGGGCACCGATGGGGGGAACGAGCAGCGGCCCGCCCCCCCCCGGGCCTACTCCGAGATAGAGAATCATGTTCCCGGGAAACTTTCCGGGAGCATGATTTGTTCCGCTCTCTGAGAGGGGGGCCTCTGGGGGCTTACCGAGGGGCGCCTTTTGGCTTTGTCGGCAAGCCAATTGGAAACATGGTTGGGGCGGCGGGCGGAAGCCCAAGGAATCATGTTCCCGGAAAGCTATCTGGGAAATACGATTTACCGAGGTGTCTTGCGGGTCCGCAGGGGGCTTCCCTGGGGGTCGCTTGGGGGCCTATTGGGGCTTCCGGGGGGCCTCTCGGGAGCCTCACGGGGCTTCTTGGGAACCTCTTGATGGCCTCTGGGGGCGTCCTGGGAGCCTCTCAGGCCGGAGACCTCGAAATGTCGCGCTCTTCGGGCCCTCTTGGGTCGCTCTTGGGACTCTCTTGGGGCGCTCTCGAGGGCCTCTTGACTTATCTGGGGAGCCTCCTGGGCCGTCTCTGGGCTTTCTTGGGAGCCTCTCCGGCCGTCTTGGAGCGATCTGAAGGGCCTCTGACGCCGTCTGGGACCGTGGGGAGGCGGAACATGGGAGAGAGCAAGAATGCTTCAAAAACCATTGGAAAATGTATGATTGTCGGCTTCTGGGGCCCTTTGGAGGGGCCTCTGAAGGTGTTTTTTTTGTATGTCTAGCGATGCGGACTGTATACAGTTGCACGGCGGTGTGGCTCAATCCTGCAGCGTAGCTCTCCGCGGCAGGGAATCCCACCTGATCTGAAGGCAACGGCTGCAAGGTCCAGCTCCTAAATACGCAACCATGCTGCGAAAAAGCGGGCTGACCTAGAGGGCCTCGTGCCTCTCACCTGGCGTGCCTACCCGAGTGCGTAGGCACTGGGAACAACTCGAACTAGGCCTTCTCGATAGACTCTGCCGATGTTCTTGGACAGCGACGTCTGCATCAAGACAGCCGTTGGGAATGTGCCAAGTCGCGAGGACGCCCCCAGCGATTGGAAGGCAGGGGAGACAGGTAACCGCAGAGGGTCTTTCATGCTGCTCACCCCCGTCCCCCGAAGCTCTCGGCTGAGAATAAAACTCGTCCTCCCCCACGTCGTCCCTCTCAGTAGTAGTAGACGGCGGAGGCCTTGAGGCTTTGAGGATGGCGCGCGGCCAAAGGCCCCGGTGAAGGGGCACCGTCGCGGGCGCAGCGGGTCCGGGCCTCGGCGCTCGGCGCCGAGCGGCATGGACGCTGGGCGGGCACGAGGGCCCACTCGCCAGCGCTGCTGCGTGGAGGCTGCCGCAGCGTCGGCAACCTCAAAACGGGCACTCCTCCTCCACCACCTCTCCTCCACCTCCTCCTCCTCCTCCTCCCAGTCAGAGCGTCCCAGCACGCGGGTGAGGGGGGCGCCACGTGGCCTGCAGGCGGCCAAGAGCGAAAGAAAAAGAGCAATGGCACGGCTTGGTCTCGGAGCCGCTGGCGGTTGCACCGGCAGTCCGGAAGTTCGCTCCCAACTGCTTGCAGTGACCAGCGGCTCCTAGCAACTCACAGCAAGGTGGCACGACCAGCCACGCGAATCTGGGCGGGCGTTTGGAACCCCAGTCCCATTTGTGCGGAGGCTAACCCTGTAGTGGCAACCTCAAATTGTTTTTCTCATCACCGCGCACGTGCTCCCAATCCTGCCAGGGACTGCTTGCACGCTGTATGAAGGAGAGGGCGGGCCTTGGCCCAAACTGCTGGCTACGTCCAGTTAGACTGTGTTCTTTTTGGCGCGCCTACTCAGTCCACGGATGTGAGCGCTTCAGCTGGATACGACCCCGTGCCCAAAGCGCACGAGCCATGCAGTACCAACACTGAACAGTGCGATGGCCCGCGTGCCTCCAACACGCCAAGCGACACTACAACATTACTCACAACCTGGACTTCTACGTACAGCCCGGCGCGACTAGCTGGGGAGCTGGTGAGAGGCTCGGCTCCGAACTGTGCTGGGATGTCTGCAAAGCAGGGCTTCCTAGGCACGCTGGGGCCTGGGGAGCGACAAAGAAACCTCGAATGTACATCCCAGCACGCGGGTCGGGGGGCGCCAATTGGCCTGCAGACGGCCGAGAGCGCAAAAAAAAAAAAGTGCATGGCTTGGTCTTGGAGCCGCTAGCCGTTGAAGTTCGCTCCCAACTGCTTGCAATGACCAGCGGCTCCTAGCAAATCACAGCAAGGTGGCACGACCAGCCACGCGAATCTGGGCGGGCGTTTGGAACCCCAGTCCCAATTGTGTGGAGGCTAACCCTGTAGTGGCAACCTCAAATTGTTTTTCTCATCACCGCGCACGTGCTCCCAATCCTGCCAGGGACTGCTTGCACACTGTATGAAGAAGAGGGCGGGCCTTGGCCCGTACCGCAACCTCACATGGCCATTTTAGTCAGAACGTGCCGCAACCTCATATGGGCATTTTAGTCAGAACGCCCCAGCACCTGGGTTGAGGGCCGCCACAAGGATGGGAACCGGAGTCGGGAAGACGTAAAACTTGACACTGACTAGCGGCTCCTAGCAACCCCTAGAAGGGTGGTACGACCGGCCACGCGACCTCAGGGCGGCACCGACTGCTGCGGAGGGCGACCGCGGCGGCGCAGCCGGCGGCGAGGCCAGAGGCGCAACAACCGGCACGAGCGCCCCGCGGCGCAACTCCCTTGAGATGGCGCCCGCCCAGCTCCTGGGGCCGCCCTCGGCGCCTCCGCCCTGGGCGGCTCCTGCTGCTGGGGGCTCGGCCGCCGCCGGGCCCTCGCCTTCGGCGCCCTCCGCTGCCGCCGGCGCGGCCGCCGCGGGCCCGAGGCAGCCGCCTTCGTCGACGCGCGGGCAACGCGGCCGCACGCCCACCTCCCAAGGCGAGCACGCCAACCGCCGCGCGGCGGCAGCCTTCAGCTCCCAGTACGCCTCGGACCGGAGGCGCCTCGGCGGGGGCGCTGGCATCGCAGAGCCCCTCCCGGGGCGCTCGTCCCTGACGGGCACGGTCTCGAAGAGCGCCGTCTTGAGGAGCGCCGGCTCGTCGCCGCCCCTCGAAAGCGCAGCGACGCCCCAGTCCTCCTGGTGCGCATCGGCGTCCTGGTCGTCGTCGAGCGTGAGCAAGTCGTCGAGCGTGGGGCAGCGCGTGGGGGCCGAGCTGGGCACGTGCGGTCCGAGGCACTCCACCTTGCCCTTCCCCTGTGCGGCGAGAGGCCCCTCCATGTCTTGAGACCTCGCGCGCGGGCTGAGCATGATTGGCGGGGTGCCTTCTGGCAGGCTGGCGGCCACCCGCTGCAAGCTTCGAGGCCCCTGCTTGAGCCAAAATGGCTACGGAACCTCTGGAGGCGCTCTTGGGGCGTTTTGGCGGCGTCGTCGGCCGTCCTGAGGCCATCTTCGGCGTGTCCGGTGCCTCTGGGGGCTGTCTTTGGGCGTCCTGGGAACCTGGAAATCCTGTTCCCGGAGAGGCTCCCGGGAACATGGTTTCGAACGAGGCTCTCTTGGGCCTCCCTGAGGCCGTCTTGGGGGCCTCCCGGGCTGGCTTTGGGGCCTCTTGGGCCGTCTTGGGGGGTTCCGTCAGCCCCACAGGACGACCCTTTTGGGCCGTCTGGGGCCCTCTTGGGTCTCTCCCTGGCTGTCTTGGGGTTCCTCGGGGGCGTCTGGGGCACTGCGAAGACGAAGCAAGGGAGTATGCTGAACATGTATTTTTTACTACAGGAGCGGGCTGATTTTTGCCTCGTGAAGGCCCTCTCGGGGCCCTCTTCGGCCATCTTGAAGCCATCTCGGGCCCTCCTGGGCCTCGCTGAGGCTGTCTTGTGGGCCTCTTGGGCGTCCTGGGAACCCAGAAATCATGTTCCCGGAGAGGCTTCCGGGAACATGGTTTCGAACGAAGCCCTCTTGGGCCTCCCTGAGGCCGTCTTGGGGGCCTCCTGGGCGGGCTTCGGGGCCTCTTGGGCCATCTTGGGGGGTTCCGTGAGCCCCGCGGGACGATCTTTTTGGGCCGTCTGGGGCCCTCTTAGGTCTCTCTTGGGCTGTCTTGGGGCTCCTCGGGGACGTCTGGGGCACCCTGAAGACGAAGCAAGCGAGTATGCTGAAAATGTTCGTTTTACGAGGGAATGGGCCGATGTTTGCCTCTTGAAGGCCCTCTTGGGGCCTTCTGCGGCCATCTTCAAGCCATCTGGCCCTCTGGGGCCTCGCTGAGGCTGTCTTGTGGGCCTCTTGGGCGTCCTGGGAGCCCGGAAGTCATGTTCCCGGAGATGCTTCGGGGAACATGATGTCGAACGAGGCCCTTTTGGGCCTCCCTGAGGCCGTCTTGGGGGTCTCCTGGGCCGGCTTCGGGGCCTCTTGGGCCGTCTTGGGGGGTTCTGCGCGGAACGATCTTTTTGGGCCGTCTGGGGCCCTCTTGGGTCTCTCTTGGGCTGTGGTGGGGCTCCTCGGGGGCGTCTGCGGCACTGTGACGAAGCAAACGAGTATGCTGCAAATATTCGTTTTACAAAGAAATGGGCCGATTGTTGCTCTTGAAGGCCCTCTCGGGGCCCTCTTCGGCCATCTTGAAGCCATCTCGGGCCCTCCTGGGCCTCGCTGAGGCTGTCTTGTGGGCCTCTTGGGCGTCCTGGGAACCCAGAAATCATGTTCCCGGAGAGGCTTCCGGGAACATGGTTTCGAATGAGGCCCTCTTGGGCCTCTCTGAGGCCGTCTTGGGGGCCTCCTGGGCGGGCTTCGGGGCCTCTTGGGCCGTCTTGGGGGGTTCCGTGAGCCCCGCGGGACGATCTTTTTGGGTCGTCTGGGGCCCTCTTAGGTCTCTCTTGGGCTGTCTTGGGGCTCCTCGGGGACGTCTGGGGCACTGCGAAGACGAAGCCAGGGAATATGGTGAAAATGTACGCTTTACGATGGGAATGGGCCGATTTTTGCTTCTTGAAGGACCTCTCGGAGCCCTTTTCGGCCATCTTCAAACCATTTCGGGCCCTCTTGGGGCGCTCTTGGGCGTCTTCGGGGTCTCTTGAGGCTTCCTTGACCATCTGTACGGCCCGCGTGGCCTGTCGTGGGCAATCTGGAAGCGGCCCGGGGCAGTCCCGGGGGGTATGTGACCCCCCAAAGGTTCGGGGGGGCGCCCATATCGGTTTTGGCTCCCCCCCCTGGCCTACTCCGATAATATATATATATATGTTTATATACATATATATATATATATATATATATATATATATATATACATGTACATATAAGAATATACTGTGTGTATATGTATGTATATGTATATAGCGCTCGGGATGAAAAAACGGCCCCGGGGGAAGCGGTCCAGCTGGCCCTCTGGGGGGGGAGGGGGGGGGGCGCGCCGTGAGCTGGACGGCTGGGGGGAGAGAGGGCGGCTCCCCAGGGCGGCCTGGGTGGGGTTTCTCTGAGCCCTCCCTCTTGAGAGGCCTCCTTGAGGAGGGCCCCGCTTTCATTCCAGGGAAGCGCCCCTGCCGTCCTAGGTAGCCACCCCCTGAGCGCCCAACCGCCCTGCGCGCGCCGAGCCGCCCTGCGCGCGCCCCCGAGGGCCGCGAGGAGCCACAGGCCTGGGCCATCCCCCGCCCGCGGGGGCGGGCAGACATGCCCAGCCTGCCCCCGTTCGTCGAGGTCCTGGGGCACAATTCCACGGCGGCAGATATGGCAGTTTCCGGGCACCTTTAACGCCGCCCACTTGCCACCCCCCTGGGGATGCATCTTTTAGGCCCGCCGGCATCCGCCCGCGGAGCCGCTCTTCCGCCGCCTTCCGTCGCCCCTCTCTGGAGCGACACGATATGGATACGGTGGGAGACTGCTGCCCAGCGTATCTCGGCGGCGGCCCCTGTGGCACGCGATGTCCTGCAGGCCGCTGGCGTACCACTGTGCTCCGTGGGACGGGAGGCAGAGACAAGACCAGAGCGCTAACGCTAGGGGACCCTGGCCCAGACGTGCTCAGCGTCGGCAGTTCAAAGATGGGGTCCTGAGGGATGGGATCCTAAAGAAAGGAAGGGATCCAATGGTGAATTTGCATTGTCTGAGGCACCGCGTCCTCAGGACCCCATCCCTCAGGACCCCATCTTTGAACCACCGACAACGTGCCGCCCCGAAGCGTGGTGGGCGAGCACTGGCCCCATCTTTGAACCACCGACGGCGTGCCGCGCCGAAGCGTGGTGGGCCAGCACCAGCGACGCGACACGCGAAGCAAACGCTGCTGACCTTAAAATCCCTGCCAGCGAAGTCCCGGGTTTCCAGGAAACCACAGGATGCCGATCAGACGTCTCCCAAATGGAGTCCGACTAATTAAATGGAGGCGGAGGACCGCGCCGCATCGGCAACGAATCGCGCCGATTCGGCAATGCATCGCCGACGACGGCGACGTGTCGGCGCCGTCGGCGATGCGGCGCGATCCTCCGACCCCATCTCCTCGGACCACATCCGGGAGGCCCACCCAGGAGTCCTCCGGCTGGAAGAGGTGCCGCCCGCCGTCTGGGAACCGCACCAGGCAGCACCGCGCGCCCTGGGACTGCAGCGCCGCGCAGGCGGCCGCGACGCTGCACTGGCTCTCGACCACGACCACGGGCCGGCCGGGCAGCAGCGAGCCGAGCGCGCCGAGCGGCAGCGCCAACCAGCTCGCGCCCGCGCCCTCTCGAGGCAGGAGGGCGGCAACTGGACACCGACCCAACACGCTGCAAGATGGTTGCACTATACACTCGGGTCGGACGTGTGCTTGCCATCCGGGCCTGCGTCGTGCGGGGCTAGGACCAAGACGAATCACAGAGCGTTTCGGAGCGCTCGGGAAAGCCTCAGCGCCCGGCACGTCCTCCAGAACCGCCCGATCTCTAAGATCCCCGATGTATCCAGGTCCGATATTGTGCAGGTGTCGGTCTTAGCTCGCACGCAGAACTGCACCCAGACATCCGACGATATGATTCGTTTGAACACGCGGCCCCAGAGGTCCCAACCCCTTCCCCTGGGCCAGATCATCGCCCCGGCTCACTATTTGGTGGTCCCAGGCGTCCCTGGAGGCCAAAGTCGAGGAGCAACCCAGGAATGAAAAACAGAATATCGTCGAGACTTGGCGACGCAGCTGCCAGCAGTGCCAATGCTGAGGCAAAGTGTCCATGAATGCGCCTGCGGCCTGTCTGCGGCGGCGTGTGCACCGATCTCGTGACTAGGCCCAGGATGGGCATGGCCAGGGTCGGCGTCGGTGTGCAGCTGTCGTCGTTCTGAAGCAGGTGAGCATATTTCGAACGATAGGTTTTGCATTCTAGATTGGTGTCAGATTCCGCGACGTGCTGTCCTGTTTTGCCTCAAAGAAAAAACATGTACTGCGCTTAGCGGTGCCTGGTTCCGGCCAGACGGCCACGGGGGGCGCCGGGCAGCCGTGAAGGCTGTGCCCGGGCGCCGCTCGAGCGCCCGCGGCCAGGGCCAGCCCTGCGCCGAAAGGGCGGCGCAGACCAGCGGAGATGCCTGCAGACGAGGCGGAGTTCACCGCCGCGGAGATCGGCGGACCGGCAGCGGCCCCGCCAGGCGCGGCTGCGGCGAGCAGTCCAGCAGCTGGGAGGCCAACCGCTGCGGCTGCCGACAATGCGGCAGTCGACGGCTCCTGCCCCCCGGGCTGCAGGATCGAGCGTGACAGTGACGACAGATCAGCTTCGAGACCTCGGGGCAGGTGTAGGCCTAGAGACTGGGAGCGGCCAGCGCCACACCTGCCATCAGAGAAGGAAGGCCAGACGACATCTGGGCGAGGGGGCACGACTCTTGGAGCACCAAGGGCCAGGATCCTTGGAGTACGGCAGCGGCAGACCAGTCCAGAGATGAAGGTAGCAAGAAGAAAACCGACTGGGACCAGTCGGAGATGCGGGACAACTACGGTAACGACGGCTGGAACGCCAACAGATGGCGTGACAGCTGGTGGAGTTCCGGCAGCTGAGGAGGCGGAGCCAGGGCGACTACTCCGACCCGCCCGGCTGGAAGTACCACGGCCTCAAGCAGATGCGCCTGCCCGCGGACGCAGGCGCCTGGGATCACCTTGCCCCGCTCGAGCGACACGCCGTGCGAGACGTGATCCGCTCCTTCCCGTGGAGCACGGGAGTTGGGCAGTCGGGCACCCCGCCCAGGGCACTGGAGGATATCTCGAACGAGGCCGTCGACGCGATGATTGCGGTCTTCCACAAGTGTGAGGACTTGCTGCAGTGGCCGAGCAGCCGCCTGGTCAATGTCATGGTCAGGCTCCCCAAGCCCGATGGCGGCAGCCGCCTGATCGGGCTCATGCCGACGCTCATGCGGATGCGGAGCCGTGCACGCCGCCCGATCACCAAGGCTTGGGAGCAGGCGCGCCACTCGGACCTCACGTGGGGCGTGGGGCCCGGGCGCTCCAGCTCCGACTCGGCG